TCCTCTCCACTGCCTGCTCCCTCTCCTTACACTGGTCCTACTGGAGGTCTTGCTGAGTGTCGTGAGCCTGCGTCTCGTCCTGCGTCGCCTGTTCGTGCTGCTCGCACTAGTGGTCGCGGTTCGCGTCAGCGTCCTCCTCCTGTCCCTGGCACGCACCGGATGTCTCTGCGTCCGTCCACTGCTCCTCTGCGTGCCCCTTTACCTTCTCCTCCTGAGTCCTCTCTTCCTGCGCTTGCCGACCCTGAGTCGGACTCTCTTCGTGCTGCCAGTCCTACTGTCACGCGTCTCCTTGCTACTGTCGTCACTGACCCCTCGTTTGAGTCCACTTCTGCGTCTGCCCTTGTCGCTGAGCTCGTCGACTTTGCTGCTCGCTGTCGTCTAGACTACGCTGCTAGTCTTGTTGCTGAGTCAGCGTCTGACTGTCCTCTGTCCGTCGGGGGTGACTGTGCTCTTGGCACGGACGTCCTAGAGGACAGGCAGGAGGAGTTACAGTGTCTGGCGGCTGCTTCACCTCATCTCGCGTCTGTACTGCTTGCTCCTGAGGGAGACCCGGATGCACTAGACATCCCGACTCCGCGCTCTTACGCGGAGGCCGTAGAGGGTCCCTACTCGTCTCAGTGGCAGGCAGCTATGGATGCAGAGATGGCTTCCTGGAAGTCCACAGGCACCTACGTTGACGTAGTTCCCCCTCCTGGGGCGAACATCGTCAGTGGCATGTGGATCTTCAGGGTGAAGCGGCCGCCGGGCTCTCCACCTGTCTTCAAGGCGCGGTACGTTGCTCGAGGCTTCAGTCAGCGGCAGGGAGTTGACTACTTTCAGACCTTCTCTCCCACCCCGAAGATGACCACTCTTCGGGTGCTGCTGCACATAGCCGCTCAGCGCGACTACGAGCTTCACTCTCTCGACTTCAGCACTGCGTTCCTGCAGGGTAGCCTGCACGAGGAGATATGGCTGCGCCGTCCACCTGGCTTCACTGGGACTTTCCCTCCTGGCACCCAGTGGAGCCTCCGTCGGCCAGTCTACGGTCTCCGCCAGGCACCGCGTGAGTGGCACGACACACTGAGGACTATGCTTGCGGCTCTTGGGTTTGCTCCTTCTACTGCTGACCCGTCGCTGTTTCTGCGCACCGACACTTCTCTGCCGCCGTTCTACATCCTCGTGTACGTCGACGACTTGGTCTTTGCCACAGCGGACACTGCTGGACTCGCCTACGTGAAGTCCGAGCTGCTCAAGAGACACACGTGCACAGACCTGGGTGAACTGCGCAGCTACCTTGGCTTGCAGATCACTCGGGACAGAGCACGCCGCACCATTACCTTGACTCAGTCACACATGGTGCAGCAGGTCCTTCAGCGCTTCGGCTTCACGTACTCCTCGCCTCAGGCCACTCCTCTGTCTACTCGCCACTCGCTCTCAGCTCTGCCTTCGGATGAGTCCGTAGAGTCGAGTGGCCCGTACCCAGAGCTTGTTGGCTGCCTCATGTACCTGATGACCTGCACACGACCTGACCTTGCATACCCTCTGAGCATTCTTGCACGCTATGTTGCTCCTGGGAGACACCGACCAGAGCACAGGGCTGCAGCGAAGAGGGTGTTGCGCTACCTGTGCAGTACGTCGGGCATGGGGCTAGTGCTTGGAGGGCGGAGTCCAGTGGTCCTTACAGGCCACGCGGACGCTTCTTGGGCTGACGACCAGGCTACGCAGCGGTCGTCACAGGGTTACACCTTCAGTCTTGGTTCCGGCTCTGTCTCGTGGCGGGCTACTCGCTCGTCTTCGGTTCTCAGCTCCAGTTGTGAGGCTGAGATCTACGCTGGGGCCATGGCTGCACAGGAGCTTCGCTGGCTCACCTACCTGCTGACTGACCTTGGAGAGCCGCCTCGTTCTCCTCCAGTGCTGTACGTAGACAACAAGGCCATGCTGGCCTTGTGTCGAGAGCAGCGTCTGGAGCACAGAACGAAGCACATTGCTCTTCGCTACTTCCTTGCTCGTGAGCTGCAGCAGCGTGGACAGTTGCGGCTTGCGTACGTGGCCTCTGAGGCCAACACTGCTGATGTGTTCACCAAGGCACTCGCGCCTTGTGACCATCAGCGCCTCTGCACCCAGCTGGGTCTTGTGCCTGTCTTGCCTCACTTGCTCTCCTCTTGACTTTACTTGTACTGTGACATATATATACCTGCTCTTGCTTGTCTAGTTTTATATATATATGTCTGTACTCCTGCATGTGAACTGGCCACTGGCCCTGCTCTTGTGCTCGGACTGTGTGGTGACGTTGTGATCCACCCTGAGCTTGCTCTGCTTTGCTTTACTTGACTGGTCTTGTGACCCCTTGTTCTCCCCCACTTTGCCTATGGGGGTGTGTCAGATTTATATGACATAGTTGCTGTAGGCTATAGTGGGGTAGCACATATGGGGTACAGGGTTTCTAGGGTTGTATTTGTACCCCATCTTTCCTTAGTCATTTCATTCCTGTTCACTTGTTTCACAATGTGTACCCCATATAGGCTACCCCACTATAGCCTACACAATATTATAATTTTACACGGAAAGCCTGCGCGCAATCATGGTGGGAGACCTCCTGATGAAGTGGGTGGACGGCACCAGTAGTTGGAAAAGTCAAGAAGGATTGGCGCGAGACCTGGGCAGCAAACAGGCGGCAGCCATTGCAGCGGAGATCATTGAGGCAGTCCAAGGGGAGTGGAAGGAACTGCTTCTGAAACCTTTAACTGCTGAAGAACAGTTCCAGGCGACTAGAGTTGTGTGCACGACGAGAAGGGGGGTGCAAATGTGGTGGATCCTTCGGACGAGCGGTAATCTGCTGCACGGCGTGAGGATGCGACAAAAAGATGACGGCAAGGCGTGGTGGGTGCCAGAAGGTGCACGACCTAAGGCTTTCTCTGTGTTAGAGGTTACGCCTATGGCGCTGTTGGGCGACGAGGTAGTCGGTGAGCTAGGCGACCCGCGTGTCAGGCTTCTAAAGTCAGAGCTTTGTGTGGGAAGGCTTGCTGCTCCTCTGAGGCATCTGAGAGTGGGGCTAGAGGCGGGGCACGAGCAACCGTGCAAACCTCTTCGCAGAGAGGAATGGGAGAAGCTGTGGGGGAGGAAGATCGACTGGAAGTGGACTATTGCGCGCAAGGACTCCCACGCAGTGCCTGCAAAAGCACGGGACCATCATGGGACTCTAAAGCATTTTTGAGAAAAAAATAAAGGGTACGTTCAGTGCAAAGGGTGTTTTCACGCGACTGATAAAGCGTTTCGCGGAATTAGTCACAATCAAATGGAAAAAAAAACGCGAATGGTCACAGATGAAACTCTTGCCAAAACAAAATGAAACCCAAAAAGAACCTAGATGCATTTTCGGATGGTGAACCCTAAACACGTAACTTGCCAGGTGTTTAGGGTTGATCCGTTCCCAAACCGCATCCGATTCCGATTGGGTTTTAGTTTTTCAACAAGTTCGCAGATTGGTTGGACGCGAGCGGGAATTTTGTTGAGTTTCAAGTTTTTTTGGCGGGAGTTACATGTGTGACCATTCGCGTTTTTTTTTTACCTGTTGTTAGTGACTGGATCCGTGACGCCGCTTACCAAACCCGTCAGAAAACTAGATACAGTGACCGTACGCGTTTTTTTTCAACCATTCACGTTATCGAGTCCGAAGTTGGTTACTTGTGGCATATTTTCCCTATTTTTCGTCCTGCAGGCTGCACGGAGGCAGACTAGGGTTCGCCGTACTTGAGTCTCTCACAGCACTGTGCTCGCTCACTTAGTACTTTTAGTTAAGGTGCCTGATATGTTAGTTATTTAGGGCACAAGTTAGGCTAAAATGACAAGCTTAGGTCACCAGGAAGGCTAAAAAGACAAGCTTAGTGCACCAGAAAGGCTACGTTGTCGAGAATCGAGCTCCTTGTGCTGCGTCCGTCAGCATTTACCGGCATTTTGTTCTGACTGTTTTAACTGCTGCGATTAAAATCATGGAGCCTAAGTTGGAGGTCATGCCTCCCACCAGTGATCCCCAGACTCCAATTGAAGAGCCTGAGGTGGAGTTAACCTTATCTGATCAAGCGACGCCTGATTTGGTATTGTCAGGCGAAGCTACAGCCGATGTAGCTGCATCAGATCAACCAACGGCGGAGATTGCTGCATCAGATCAACCAACGGCGGAGATTGCTGCATCAGATCAACCAACGGCGGAGATTGCTGCATCAGATCAACCAACGGCGGATGTAGCGGCATCTGACCAACCAACGGCGGATATAGCTGCACCTGACCAACCAACGGCGGTTATTGCTGCATTTGATAAACCAACTGCGGGTATTGCTGCATCGGATCAACCAACGGCGGATATCACAGCATCAGGTCAACCAACGGCGGATATAGCTGTATCATGTCAACCAACGAACGATGTTGCTGCATTAGATCAACCAACGGCGGATATAACTGCGTCAGTTCAACCAACGGCGGATACAGCTGGAGCTGATAAACCAGCCGCGGACATTGCTGCATCTGACCAGGTCGCAGCTGATGTTACCAGCACCAAGGTCACCTATACAACCGAAACATTTGCAGGGAACGGCGGAGCCTATAGCGAGGGAGCTTATAGCGGGGAAAATGTCCATACGGACCCCCCTCCGGCATCGTTCCGCGAATCGAATCTAATGAACGTGCAGGGATCAAACTTATGGTCGCACACGGAGGTTCGGCAACTCCTCGAGGCTCACGCGGAGCTCGATGCGGAGTTTCACGCCGTACGCGGTACAAGAGGCACCTCTTATCATAAAGAGTTGCGCAACCTCCTGCTGCAGCGTGACCCGGAATTCCGCCACTCCTCGGACGCGATAAAGGCTAAGATCAACAGGCTTAAATCGAATTACGAGAACCTGAGAGACCGGCTAGAATGGGCTGACCGACTGGAACAATCGGAGCCTTCACGAACGCCTCAGGATTTCGCGGCTCGGCTACAAATGGCCCAGATTCCCGATCGACTGCCGGAGTGGTTTGTGCTAATGGATCCGATTATGACACGTCATCATGACCGACGACAGTCACTGTTGAGGGATTCAAGGGACAATGCGGGCCGGCGGCACGAGACCCGGTTTGACTCGCCACTGGATCGACGCTGCTCGTCTGCTCTTTTGTTGGGCATTGCGAGAGCAATTGCTGCTAGAAAAGCAGCTGGCGCAGCAGCTTCAAGAGCTGCAGAAGCAGCAGCAGCAGGCGGACAGGCAGTCGAAGCAGCAGAAATGAAAGCAGGAACCTCTGGCGCTGGAGGAGGCACGGCTGCAGCAGCAAACTCGGCGGCAGCAGCAGCAACGTACGCAGCAGCGCTCCGGAAAGTGCCTGCAGCCGGAGCAGGGCAGTCGAATCTCCCACAACCGAATCGCCCTCTGCTGCCCCTGCTGCGCTCCGCCGCGCCCCCCTCCCGTGCGCCACGTGGCAGGCGGCTGTCCTCTTCCCCTCACCCCCCTGCTTCTGGTCGACGCGACCGGCCTATGAAAGGGATGAATGGGCCCGATAGGCTTGATAGACTCGATAGGCTTGATAGGCGTGGTGGGCGCGGTAGGACTGATGAGTCGGGTGAGCCGGATGAGTTGGATGGGGAGGACGGGGCGGATGATGGGCCTGAAGGGGCTGATGGGTGGATTGGGAGGAGGAGGAAGCGGGGATCGGCATGGGGCGAGAGGGAACTGCCATCGACCTCCAGGAGAAATTTCAGGAGAGATTCCAGGGGGGATCATTACGAGGGTGCTTTCCCAGCAGTTCCAGCGTTTTCAGGAGGAGAAGCGTTTTCGGGTGGAGAAAGGGCGTATGAGGACGGTGATGTGATGGTGGAGAGGGCGTGTGCGGAGTTTGAGGATGGCATGCAGGAGTGGGCGGAGAGTCTGTGCTGCCAGTTTGAAGACTCAATGATGGAGTTTGCTGAAGCTGCTTGCTTTCAGTTTAAAAGTCTAACGAGGGAGTTCAGAGATTCGTGGATGGCTGGGAGAGGTGCTAAGCGGTACCAAAGGTAGTCGGTGCAGTGCAGTGGGTTTCAAGGGATGAAATGGAGTTTGCTGAAGTGGCTTGCTTTCAGTTCCAGAGTCTTGCCATGGAGTTCAGAGACTCGTGGAAGGCTGCTGGGAGAGGTGCCAAGCGATATCAGTGGTAGTCAGTGCAGTGCAGTGGTGTTGAGAGTTTGCTGAAGCAGCTTGCTTTCAGCTTGAGAGTCTTGCCGGGGAGTTCAGAGGTTCGTTGACGGCTGGTAGATCGGCTAGGAGGTACCAGAGATGATATGGTGGGGATGGTCTTCAAATAAAAGGATGCAACGCAACGCGAGAGTCTCACCAGGGAGTTCAGAGGCTCGTGGACGGCTGGTGGATCGGCTAGTCAGTGCGGTGCAGTGGTGTTCAGAAGATGGTATGGAGTTTGCTGAAGCCGCTTGCTTTCAGTTTAGGAGTCTCACCAATGAATTGAGAAGAGACTCGTGGAAGGCTGGGGGTGGGGGGTCAGCCAAGTGGTACCACCAGAGATAGTTGATATGGTGGGAATGGTCTACAAAGGATGCGATGCAAGAGTCTCAGCAGGGAGTTCAGAGAGTCGTGGTCGTGGATGGGCGGGTGATGTTTCAAGAGGTACCAGCGGTGGCTAGTCGGTACGGTGGCAGTGGTACCGTATTAAAAGTAAAGGGCTTCAAGCACACTGACCAGTGTAATGTATGTTACCAACCATGTACCGTCACCCCCCAGATAAGCCCGCCCCTGGGGGTATAATAATGCATGTTTTTTTTGGGGGTGGGATTATAATCGAGGATCTTATAAGCATCGGCGTTAATATTATGGCATTAATGTTTTTTTTCTCTTTTTTTCTATGGAAACAAAACGTGTTGATAGGCGGATTCACGTGAGTCGAGAACGTTTGTAACTGTGCATCAATTCCGCGTGAATAGGCCAACAAGGCGTGGATTCACGCCTACCACTGTTGGGCTGAGAAAAGCCCTTAGGATCTTTGCAGGACTAAACTCTGAGTAGGAACAAAGTAATAACGGAAGCGTTTAATGATAACTCTGTGAACCACCTTGCGCTGATATGTGAGGGCAAAGTAGATTGATTAAAACTGTAAGGAATTTTCTCGATATTCCTTAGCGCACCCTGCAACATCGCGTACAGCAGCAGCTGTTGTTCGCCCGTTACTGCTAACGGGGCTTCGCCGACTTCGCGCGCACTGTTTCACCAAACCTCGCACTGCTGGCCTGGCCGTGTCGGCCTACGCTTCGGGACTAGCCCGAGCCTCGCTTCCAGCGTAGCACTAGCTAGCTCGCACGCACCGCGTTACTGTTTGCATGTTTCGCGTATAAATGTTCGCTCATGCCTTCGCTCACATTTTGTACTCGTTTGACACCTAAGTGCAATTCTCGCTACTTCAATTCATTGCACCCGTAACACTTAGTTTTCATAGCCTCTTTCCTTTTTGGACCGCGCATCTCCGCACCCCAGGAAATCAACTTTTGATTTTTCACTCGAAGGGACTCAAGCACCTTAGCACCTAGGAGCCGCTTCGATCGCGGCGCGACAGAGGCTCCGCACTTGGCGCCAACTCGGTTCCGTCCAAGACTACACGAGCGGGTTTCTGGCGCTATGCGAGCAGGTGGGAGATATGCATGAGAGCGAGCGCATCGACCGCTGTATCGGCGGCCTGAAGCAGGAAATCGCTAAGGAAATCCAGCTTCGCGGCGTCACCGATTTTCAGGAGATTTTCGCCATGGCGGAAAAACTCGATTTCTTCCGCCGAACGAGACCAGGTTCCTACGGAAGCAGCAATTGGGGACATCGGCCTCGTCGGACGAACGAGGGCGCTACGATACGTGCCGTCGCCGCAAATGTCGCTGCCGCACCGTTCAAAGTGTGAAGAAACGAGGAATGAAATGAACTAGCAAGCAGGTGGGTACAAGTAGGAAAACCTAAAAGTGTTGTACCCCATATTGTCTACCCCACTACAGCCTACACAGACTATAGTATATGAGTTTAACACACCCCCATAGGCAAAGTGGGGGAGAACAAGCGGTCACAAGACCAGTCAAGCAAAGCAAAGCAAGCTCAGGGTGGATCACAACGTCACCACACAGTCCGAGCACAAGAGCAAGGCTACAAGGCCAGTTCACATGCAAGATCATATATAAAGGTAAACAAGCAAGTGCAGGTATAGAATGATCACAGTACAAGCAAGGTCAAGAAGTGAGTAAGTGAGGCCAAGTAGGCACAAGACCTAGCATCGTACAGAAGCGCTGATGATCATATGGCGGAAGTGCCTTGGTAAAGATATCAGCAGTGTTGGCCTCAGAGGCCACGTAAGCAAGGCGCAGCTGACCACGCTACTGCAGCTCACGAGCAAGGAAGTAGCGAAGAGCAATGTGCTTCATTCTGTGCTCCAGTCTGTGCTCTCGACACAAGGCCAGCATGGCCTTGTTGTCTACGTACAGAACTGGAGGAGAACGAGGCGGCTCTCCTAGGTCAGTCAGCAGGTAGGTGAGCCAGCGTAGCTCCTGTGCAGCCATGGCCCCCGCGTAGATCTCAGCCTCACAGCTGGAGGTGAGAACAGAAGACGAGCTGGTAGACCGCCACGAGACAGAGCCAGAACCAAGGCTGAAGGTGTAACCCTGTGACGACCGCTGTGTAGCCTGGTCGTCAGCCCAAGAAGCGTCTGTGTGACCTGTGAGGACCACTCGACGTCGCCCTCCAAGCACTAGCCCCATGCCCGACGTACTGCAGAAGTAGCGCAACACCCTCTTCGCTGCAGCCATGTGCTCTGGTCGGTGTCTCCCAGGAGCAACATAGCGTGCCAAGATGCTAAGAGGGTATGCTAGGTCAGGTCGTGTGCAGGTCATCAGGTACATGAGGCAGCCAACAAGCTCTGGGTACGGGCCACTCGGCTCTACGGACTCATCCGAAGGTAAAGCTGAGAGCGAGTGGCGAGTAGACAGAGGAGTGGCCTGAGGCGAGGAGTACGTGAAGTCAAAGCGCCGAAGGATCTGCTTCACCATGTGTGAGTGAGTCACGGTAATGGTGCGCTGTGCTCTGTCCCGGGTGATCTGCAAGCCAAGGTAGCTGCGCAGTTCACCCAGGTCTGTGCACGCGTGTCTCTTCTGCAGCTCGGACTTCGCGTGCGCTAGTCCAGCAGTGGCAACGACCAAGTCGTCGACGTACACGAGGATGTAGAACGGCAGCAAAGAGGTGTCGGTGCGCAGAAACAGCGACGGGTCGGCAGTAGAAGGAGCAAACCCAAGAGCCGCAAGTGTAGTCCTCAGTGTGTCATGCCACTCACGGGGCGCCTGGCGGAGACCGTAGACTGGCCGTTGGAGGCTCCACTGGGTACCAGGAGGAAACGACCCAGTGAAGCCAGGTGGGCGGCGCAGCCAGATCTCCTCGTGCAGGCTGCCCTGCAAGAAAGCTGTGATGTAGTCAAGAGAGTGAAGCTCGTAGTCGCGCTGAGCGGCTATGTGCAGCAGCACCCGAAGAGTGGTCATCTTCGGGGTGGGAGAGAAGGGCTGAAAGTAGTCAACTCCCTGCCGCTGACTGAAGCCTCGAGCTGCGTAACGCGCCTTGAAGATAGGCAGAGAACTCGGCGGCCGCTTCACCCTGAAAATCCACATGCCACTGACGATGTTCGCCCCAGGTGGGGGAGCCTCGTTGGCGTAGGTGCTTGTGGACTTCCAGGAAGCCATCTCTGCGTCCATGGCTGACTGCCACTGAGAGGAGTAGGGACCCTCGATCGCCTCAACGTATGATCGAGGAGTCGGGATGTCTGGTGCGTCCGGGTCTCCCTCAAGGGCAATCAGCGTGGACACGAGATGAGGCAAAGCAGCAACAAAACACCGGAACTCCTCCCGCTTGTCCTCAAGGACGCATGTGCTAAGAGCACATTCACCCCCGACAGATGGAGGACAGACAGACTCAGACTCAGCAACAAGACTAGTAGCGTAGTCTAGACGACAGCAAGCAGCAAAGTCGACAAGCTCAGCAACCAAGGCAGACGCAGCAGTGGACTCAAAGGAAGGGTCAGTGACAACAGTAGCCAGGAGACGCGTGACAGTAGGACTGGCAGCACGAAGAGAGTTAGACTCCGGGTCAGCAAGGACAGGTTGAGAGGACTCTGGAGGAGACGGCAACGGGACACGCAGAGGAGCAGTGGAAGGACGCAGTGCCAACTGGTGTGTGCCTGGGACTGCAGGAGGACGCGGACGCGGAGCACGACGACTAGTGCGAGCAGCATGAGCAGGCGACGCAGGACGAGAAGCAGGCTCACGACGCTCAGCAAGACCTCCAGTAGGACCAGTGTAGGGAGAAGGAGCACAAAGGGGGGAGGCGGGCTGTAACTGTGACTGCGACTGGATAGGCTGTGGACACTCTAAGGGAGGAGCAGGACCACTAGAAGGCGGGAGACCAAGAACCTGCTCAAGGAGCGGAATGAAGTATGGCCGCGGCCGCGCAGCGCCTCCAGAACCAGCAGCGGCAGCACCAGCGCCAGCAGTACCTCCAGCTCCAACAGCGCCAACTCCAGCACCCTCAGAAGCACGAGTGCCAGCAGCACCACCAGCGCCAACACCTCCAGCAACACCAGCTCCAGCAGCTCTAGCTCCAGGAGGACCATCAGCTCTAGTACCGCCAGCAGCTCTAGCAGTACCTCGAGCAGCACCAGCTCCAGCAGCCCCAGCAGCACCCCCAGTCCCAGGAGTTCCAGTACCGCCAGTACGAGCACCTCCAGGACCAGCAGCAACAGCAGTACCTCCAGCTCCAGCAGCACGACTCCAGCAGCACAACTCCAGCGCCGGACAAACCACTCGCGCAGCTCTTGCGGAGAGAGTAGCTCCCGCCTCGACGAAGCACCGCCAGAGGCCACACGAGCAGACCCAGCACCCCCAGGCTCCGCACCCCCAGGCTCGGTACCCCCAGGCTCCGCACCCCTAGTCTCAGCACCCCCAGACTCAGCACCCCCAGGCTTAGCACCCCTAGACTCAGCACCCCCAGGCTCCGCACCC